TTTTGTACTTAGGACAAAATAGATATATGATGATTGTATATATCCTAAGTATTATATATGATTTTTAGAAATGAATATAAATGTGTATATTGATATATTAAATTATAGAATTTATTTTTCTATTTATTACTGATAGATGATATTAGATAGCTCTTGTTATTGTTTATTAAAAGAAGAATAAATAATTCTTCCAAATTAAATTCTAGGGCATCACATATCTATCTTATGTGTTTAGCTTTTTATTTTTGTTTAGAGAAAATTTTAATTCAAGTTATCATTTTATTAGAATTTTGGAATTATATTCTCAAAATGGGGGACTTATAATTTTGGGTTTGCCCCATATCTTAAATCTATTTTGGGCACCAAACCATGACAACCCGAACCTAACTAATGATATGCAATTCTTGACTTAATGCTTTAAAACCATGAGTCTGATCTTTATGAAAGATGGGTAAGGTTGTTATTTAAATTTTGAGAAATTGGGGCTCATGTCTATATGTCTTAATTATCCCGTTTACTTATATAAGGTGATTATACTCGAATGTAATTAAAATTTAATTCTTTAATTAGTTTCTAATATAATACATGATGATTAACCTTATATGAATAAATGATATGAAGCAATTTTAAAATTTAGCTTAGAAAATATAATTTTTCCTTTAGATTACACAACGTCTCTTAAACAAAACTGTACCCTAATAGGCCAAGTGGTCTTCCACAACGTGTAGATGGAAAAGTTCCTAATAAGAAAGAGAAGATTTCAACATGTATGTATGAGAGCTCAGTGAGCCCGAACTTACTTCTTTGGTCCATTTATCTTTGTATGTTGGACTAAATATTTTATTTAGTTATGAGTAGAAAAATTGTCCTTAGAGAGCATAATCATATCCATGCTAAAATAAAAGTGGCATGCAGAGTAAGAAACCTAAAAATATTATGAAACTCCTAATGCTCAAAAGTAAACACAACAATTAAATCACATGATCAAATATATCAAGTAAATGTAAAAGTCTATATGGCAAACTCCACTTAATTGTAATCCATTATCTACAGAATTTAAAAGTGATCGGGTATCACTGATAATAACATAGATTCTAATTTTAGGAATGGTTCAAAAATTTTAAGATGGAACATTTTTCTTTTGTTGAAATCTTCATTTCTTTGTCTTCATCCCTTCTTTGAGCTTCTTAGATTCGTCTGATCCAAGTATCTAAATGGAAAGAACTCTCCGAAGAGGTGTTTCTTTCCTCTTTGGATTTTAAAAGCATCCTAATTTGAATTCCCAAATAAAAGGAACTCCCTCCAAAGAAATGTATCCCTCCTATTTGGAATTCAAATTAGATAGATAATATCCCATTTAAGTTTTTTGCTTTCACAACTCAAATTGAATTCAAATTACACGTGAGAAATAAGAAAAGGACTCTAAAATAACCTGCAATGTTATCCTTAAAAGTTTATAAATAAAATCATTAACATACCACGCATTTGTATAACCAAATTACTAACAGTGTACTCGGGAGATCAGCATGGGGCTTTGTTGTACTAATAACAACCATTTCGACAATGCTCAATGAAGTACGCTCAACCACTGTAACTGGGTGTCAGTCCAATGATATAGAATGGTCCAGTGGCAATAGCCTCAAGTTCAGCATATATTACAATAAATCAACAAGTAGCATGGCATATGACAATAAAACAGACCTCATCATCCATAATAGGTGATGCAATCATACCATTGAGCATTAGAAGGTGACTTATCATGTTCATTGTAAATATTCTGACATCATAATGAAGCACGCTAAGTAATTTTACGTCCAGCTTCTCTTCTAAAGTGTTAATTGAAACATTAAGAGGACAGTTACGCCCTTCGTTATAGGTAGGCAAAAATGTTCATCAATGCTCAACTGACCGCCATATACTAACACAAGCAACACAACCACTGAATCCATCCCGCACCACTAGCATTATTAAAATTGGTGTGGCCCGATTCAAAAAGAGTGACAATTCGAACACTAACTTTATGAAAAGTCATATTCTCATCTTTATAATATATTCAAAATTATCCCAAATAAGGACATATTAATTATTCTGTAATTTTCAGAGAAAAAAAAAATCGGTTAGTTAATGCTTGATGAAACTGTGGTCAACTCAAAATGGTTGTCATTTTAAGGTAAAATGATTGAAATACTATGTAAAAAAAAAAAACTATCCGAAAGCTCATTAAATAACATAGCTTAATATAACAACAACAACAACATCATCATCATCAAGCCTTTATCCCACTACGTGGGGTCGGCTACATGAATCTTTTTTCTCCATTATGTCCTATTAAAAGTCAAATTCACGTTTAAATTTAATAAAGAAAGGTCATTCCTAATATTTTCTAACCAAGTCTTTTTAGGTCTACCCCTACCTTTCTTAACACAAGTAAAATCTAATACCTCTACTCTCCTAACCGGGTCATCGGAAGGCCGCCTTTTTATGTGACCAAACCATCTAAGGCGACTCTCTCTAATCTTATCTTCTACTAGAGCTACTCCAACCTTTTCACATATATGCTCATTTCGTATCCTATCACTAAGGGTAAAGCCACTCATCCACCTAAGCATCCTCATCTCTGCCACACTTAACTTAGTATTATGCTCCTCTTTTAATGGCCAACATTCGGCACCATAAAGCATTGCAGGCCTCACTACCATCTTATAGAATTTTCTCTTAAGTTTGAGAGGTACATTTCTATCACATAACAAGCCTGATGCATTCCTCCACTTCAACCATCCAACTTGAATTCTGTTGATAATATCCCTATCTATTTCACCATCACTCTGAACAATAAATCCAAGATTTCTAAAACGTGTACTCTGATTAATGACTTGATCGCCTAAAGTCACAATCCCCTCACTAGGTCTATTACTACTAAAATTACACTCCATATATTCCGTTTTAGATCTACTCGAGCGAAAACCTTTAGACTCTAATAAGGTTGACCTCCATAATTCAAGTTTACCTTCAACTCCCTCTCTAGTCTTATCAACAAGAAGAATATCATCAGCAAAAAACATAAACCAAGGTACATCCTCTTGCAAATGTCAAGTGTAGGAATTAATACACTCATTCTCCACTCATCTGACATCTTCCTAGTCTTCAAAATAGTATTAAAAAGTTTAGTAAGCCAAAAATCCCTTCATCTCCTAAGCATTTCCACACCTCTATTGGAATATCATCAGGTCCAACAGCTTTTCCACCCTTCATTTTCTTTAAAGCCTCTCTAACTTCAGTTTTATTAATACGCCGATAAAAATAGAAATCTTTATTTTCATTTAGGGTGCTAAGGTCACTATAGTCAATCTTATTTTCACAATCTTCATTAAGAAGTTTAGCAAAATATCTCATCCACCTTTGTTGAATATCATTTTCTAAGAAAAATATTTTTTTTTATCTTCATCCTTAATACACTTCACTTGAACTAAATCCTTACTACTCCTATCTTTGTTTGGCTAACTTATACATATATTTTTCTCTCTCCTTAATATTTAATCTATTATATAAATCGCTAAAAGCTAATGTTATTGCATCGTATATTGCTTTCATAGAATCCTTACGAGCCACTTTATATAATTCCCAATTATCAGAATTTTTAAAATTAAACCAATTTTTATAACAAATCTTCTTATTTTTAATCTTTTCTTGCACAATTGGATTTCACCACCAACTATTTTTACTATTAGGAGCTTTTTCCTTAGATACTCCAAGCACATCTTTTGCAATATTCTTAATATCACTAGCCACTTTTTCCCACATAACATTAGCATCATCATGCACAGACAAAATCTTAAGATCTAAAATCTTACTCTCAAAAATATTTTTGTTAATATTCTTTAAATGCCCCCATCTAATCTTAGAAAAACGTTTTACTTTATTTTCATCAAGCATTAACATAACTTAATATAACTGTAACTCTTAAATTGCCCCAAAATCCCAATTTTGCCAATCCACATTTAAGAAAAACTATTGGCTGCCACAATATGATGAAAGTCCCATTAACATGATTCCATTTAAAATAGATCCCATGATTCTGATTCAATAGACCACATCAATAGCATTCACAAATAGTCTAAGTAGTCAGTGAAATAAGCTGAAAAAACAAACAGAACTTTGGTTTACTATTTTCTTCATAAATCTACAAAATCTAACAAAATCATTGTGTGATCAAACCAAAGAGGGATGATTGCTCGAGTAACAAAGACACAAAAACAAACTTATGTTCCCAAAAATCACAAAAATATTGGCTGTAAGGTTATCCATAATTTGCAAAATAAAAAAAAATAATCAAAATTATCTCAAGCAGTGCGACCTCAAAAAAAAAAAAAAAGTTATGATTAAAAATGTAATAATGTAATTAAGTAATGTAAAAATAGATATAATAGTTTATTTAACCGGCAACTTATTAGTCCAGTCAACATCCATTCAACATTCAATCAGTAAAAAAATATCAGTAGTCGAGCCAGCTTTTGGAGGCCAATAAAACACAAAAGTCAATAAATGGTAAATCTAACATTCTTCTAAGACATGGAGGTGATATATTAACACAAGCATATTGATCTCTATCTAATTTCTGATAAATCCCACTACAACACTTTGTTTCTTCAGCATTAAAGTGGAATTTTCAAAGCTTACTTCTAACAACTCTCTTGCACAGTCCATAATCTTTTCTTCGCAATAAAAATTGCGAAGTTGTATGATAAATTAGTTGTCCTTAATTAAACAAATAAAAAAAGGCTTATTTGATATAAATCAGGAGTAGTGTTTCACTTCTAAGCTCGCATTAACCTCTACCCAATAGTAAAAACAGCAAAGAATCATGGCCAAACAATATTATGGAACTGATACTGAATAAGCGATTCAAACAATATCAAAACAGTATAAAAAATTTAATAACCAAACTAACCTTTCATCGAATGGCATTTCCAGGCAAACAGGACAGAAATTTGAACTCTGGATGATGTGAAGCTGTAGACCCAAAATGTCATTGATTAAGATATAAAGATGTGTTTTTTGAGTTTTTATATGTAGTTCATTTTAAAAAGATTTGTGTAGCAATTGGCTATATTCTTGGCTTCACTTCAAAACATCAGCTAACACGTATAAAGTTTAAGATCAAAGATTGAGGTTAACCCTTTCTATATACAAATATTCATGGAGGAGAAAATTATATCCTGACTAAAATAATTAGGATGAATCTCAAGCACCTTGAAATTATTTTAAGATTAATGTAATATTAATTATTAATGTATTCTGCTTATCTCAAAATAGATTCAAAAATTTGAAATTCATCTTGATCAAAAATTTTAATCAGGATATCTTAATAAAATCTTTTCCCAATCAAGAAAACACAGTTCAAATATCAAAATGGAGTCTGGCACAATGGACAAGTTGATTTGTGAGAGGATGAGAACCACTTGTACAGGCAAGCAGAATGGAACTTGTGTTTGCAGGTCTTGCAAGCTAGACGTGGAAGGCTATGATTGGTGGTATGTATGATGCTGTAACAAATTGGACACTCCTCAACTCCATCAAATTCCTTGTCAAAATTACTCTTCCATATGCGTATGGCCTCAGCAATAGCACCATTCTGCACAAACAAAGAGGAATATGAATCACGATAATAGTATGCAAACTAGTTTATATATATATATATAAAACAAAAATTCAGACTGTTAAGGTAAATTATGTATAAGCGTCCATGTAATGCTTAAAGAACACGTGTGTGAAACTACAAAATGAAGAGTACCGTAGAACAGATTGGTCTCCTTTCTCCAAATTAGTTACCTCAATTTGCTTCCCCCTTCCTTTCGACGAGTGATTATTCCGTCAGGTAACCGAATGCATCCGGAAACCATTAAAAAAACGCCACGTCACTAAAGTGCTCGGTACCATGCTCGGTACAGGCGCTCGGGTACACTCGATATGCTCGGTATTTTTACCGGACGTAATAAAAATTCCCTTTCGACTCACTACCCCTTCTACAACATTGGGAGTACCATGCCCAAACTATGACGTCGTTCGGGACGACTTTTTATTGCTTCTTAAAACAGAGTTTTAATACAAAGTTTTTAATTTTTGTTCTAAAACGTTGTTTTAAAAAAGTAATAAAAAAAGTCATCCCAAACAAAACCTATAACTCTTTCCTTCTGCGTTTCCATAAAGCATATCACTCCTTCCTTCTTATTATATATATATATATATATATGTGTGTGTGTGTGTGTGTAGTCTTGTCTTCTCCAGAGTTGACTAGTTTAAACTTGGCATTGCTCCACAAAGGTGAAGAGCTAATCTGCAAGTGCATTTTTAATGAGCGTAAAGTCATGAAAAAGGTGTGCAGGCTATACTTTTCAATAATGTTTATCACAAAAATCAAAATAAAAGTTCAACTGGATTTCAGAAGGAAAACAGTAATAAGCTCATCACCAAATGAAACCTATAAACAATAATATTGTAAAGTGTTGTGAGAGACAGCTACTGCTACTCTCACGGTGGTGGAACCGGGGTGCAACCCGTTAAGACTTTTGCATTTCCCACAATTCAAAATAGTTATATAACAAGTTTTTGAAAAGTATCATGAAGTACAACAACAATATCAAGCCTTTGTCCCACTGCGTGGGGTCGGCAACATGATTTTTTTTTATTTATCGTCTCCTATAAAGAGTCAAATTCTCATTTAAATCTAATAAAAAAATCATTTCTAATATTTTAACCAAGTCTGATCTGCTGCCACCACAGAAAAGCATGTGTGATATTTCTCATTGTGAATATTGGTTAAAATAGCCTAGTTCCAATGTAGTAGAATGCACTACCAAGGAAAAAAATGAAAAATACACCATAGTACCACATGGAGCACGTCAACAGAATTGCCATTACACAATAACTGGATGCACGGATTGCAAAAGCAATAAAGACCTGCAAAATTAAAGGGTCATTTTCCTAAAACAAGAGGTCCTGGAAAAAAAGTAGGTAGCTCAATTATCCTTAAATATACGCAACCTCAAAATAACTAAATTCTTAAAGAAAAATACCTTAATATTATTATAATTTAAGGCTACTATTTAAGCTGAGTATATTTGTAGCAGTGCGGGAATGCCAATAGGGTAACAGTATTTATACAAGCAGATATAGCATAATACTAGAAAGAAAAATTGAGGATGCAATAGTAATTAGGTAATATCAATGGTGCAGAAGTGCCAAGATAATCATAGCAGCAACTGCAGAAATCATGAGCTTTGCGTTCTTGGATGGGATGCAGAGTTTAGAGAACATAAACAAAGAGTTGTTTGTTTAGGAAAGTTTAAAGCACAATGATGAATGAACGTTCCATGTTCATGCTTATAACAAGAAAACATTCAAGGGAAGAAAAAATGTAAAGACTGCAAATGCACATAAAAACATTAACAAAACATATGGGAATTTTGAAAAGGGGAAACACGGTAAAATATTTGAGAATATACCTGATTGCGGACAAATGCAGTCAATGACAGTAGCCATTTCCTCTGCTTTACTTCAATTATGCCCAGACTCCTAGTACACTCAACATCCACAGGCCGCAAAGGGTAACAACTTGGCAGCCGTATCACCAGATCCATTCCAGTCTCCTCCTTTTTATATGTAGCAACTATCTCGTATGCAGATTTATTTACACTGAGGGAGAAGTTTTCATCTGCTAGAACAGTTTCTTTGACCTGCTCAATCGTCAAGAAGGCCTTCGGTCAGAAGGCTCCTATTTCACATTAAAAAAAGATTTTTTTTGGAGAAACGTTGCCTAAATAACCAAGGTTTTGAATGGCTGGTAATACTTCTCAAGATCAAGTGTATCAAAGTAAAAGAAATATTTATATTAATTTCCACATGTCATCATAAGAGGAATAAAGATCAACAAAGTTATGATGGAACAATACCAACACATAAGAGCAAGGTATCCATTCATGAACTTGAATTTACAAATTAGATTGAAACAAACCCCTGGTGGTGTCTAAGCATATATGATCATAATATCTACCAGTCACAAAATAAACCAATTTGCTTACAAATAATTGACAGAAACATTGTTTTCTTCTTTTTCCGTCTTTCTTTTCTAATGAGGCTTCGTGCACTAGAAGCATATGCAGAAAGTAGCTTTAACAAATCATGGCCAGGAAACACCTTCCAAATGCATGTTTAGTTGAAAAAAAAAGATACGAAACCATCACCATTTTCTCAAAACCCTTAGAACAGCAACTCCAAAAGAAAATTGTTGTATGAACTAAATATACGTAAATAGTCAGACAGAAAGGAAGCACCTCCACATTAAGATTCTACAATGGCCCCAACCACTATAAAAAAGCAGAGATATTTTAATATACTAAAAGTTTACCAACCAACTTGTCACTTGAATTGCAATCTGGATAATTTTTCATAAACATGCATATGGGATAAAAGATATGTATTGGCTATGTAAGCTTGATTTGATTAACCAGTTTATTATTACTTCTCCGTGTAACCAATTTTTTCAATGTACAAGTACAATAGCTTACCTTCTATTGGCAGGATTTTTGGAATTTAGGAGATGAAGGAATTTCATGGCTTACTAAACTTTTTAATACTATTTTGAAGACTAAAAAGATGCCAGATGAGTGGAGAATGAGTGTGTTAATTCATATTTTTAAGAATAAAGGTGATGCACAAGATTGTGCGAATTTTAGAGGTATTAAGTTAATGTGTCATACTTTAAAACTATGGGAGCAAGTTATGGAGCATAGGTTGTGGCGTGATACTAATGTTTCTCAAAATCAATTTGGATTCATGCCAGGTAGGTCGACTATGGAAGCCATACATTTATTAAGAGGTTTGATGGAGAAATATAGAGAACATAAGGAGGAACTACATATGATATTTATTGATTTAGAAAAAGCATATGATAAAGTTCCAAGAGAAGTGCTATGGAGAGTTCTTGAAAAGAAAGGAGTCAATAATGCTTATATTCAAATCATTAAAGATATGTTTGCAGGAGCTATTACTTGTGTTCAAACACAAGGTGGATTGACCAAGTATTTCCCTATTTCGGTTGCGTTACATCAAGGATCAGCCTTAAGCCCATATCTTTTTGCTTTAGTCATGGATGTTCTCACTAGACATTTGCAAGAGGATGTACCTTGGTGTATGCCTTTTGCTGATGATATTCTTCTTGTTGATAAGACTAGAGAGAGAGTTGAAGGTAAACTTGAATTATGGAGGTCAACCTTAGAGTCTAAAGGTTTTCGCTTGAGTAGCTCTAAAACGGAATATATGGAGTGTAATTTTAGTAGTAATAGACCTAGTGAGGGGATTGTGACTTTGGGCGATCAAGTCATTAATAAGAGTACATGTTTTAGATATCTTGGATCTATTGTTCAGAGTGATGGTGAAATAGATGGGGATATTATCAGCAGAATTCAAGTTGGATGGTTGAAGTGGAGGAATGCATCGGGCTTGTTATGTGATAGAAATGTACCCCTCAAACTTAAGGGAAAATTCTATAAGATGATAGTGAGGCCTGCAATGCTTTATGGTGCCGAATGTTGGCCATTAAAAGAGAAGCATAATACTAAGTTAAGTGTGGCACAGATGAGGATGCTCAGGTGGATGAGTGGATTTACCCTTAGAGATGGGATACAAAATGAGCATATACGTGAAAAGGTTGGAGTAGCTCCAGTAGAAGATAAGATTAGAGAAAGTCGCCTTAGATGGTTTGGTCACATAAAACGGCGGTCTTGCGATGACCCGGTTAGCAGAGTAGAGGTATTAGATTTGACTTATGTTAAGAAAGGTAGAGGTAGACCTAAAAAGACTTGGTTAGAAAATATTAGGAATGACCTTTCTTTATTAGATTTAAACGAGAATTTGACTTTTAATAGGACACAATAGAGAAAAAGGATTTATGTAGCCGACCCCACGTAGTGGGATAAAGGCTTGATGTTGTTGTTGTTGTTGTACAAGTACAATAGCTGGAAGTAAATTTTAGATTTGATGCACCTCCAGCCCAATCAACATTTGTGAAAATTTGGTTTCTTTGTTGGATGACTTTTAATTTAACAGGCTTTCCCTACTGTCATTTTAAGATACCATAGAATGTAGTTAACAATATCCATATGGTCTTCAGTAGGGTTGTTACTATATTAGCTAGCAATACTAACAGGGAACCTAATATCAAGATGAGTGAGATAGATGTATAAGTTTGTCTACAAGACGTTGATACCTACCTTTGGTAGCGACATCAATTTTCTAAGTTATCCAATGGAATTTCTGCAAACTTGCATCCAAGCGTTCCTATTTTTTGAAGTAGATCAAGAATATATATTTTTTGAGAAATAAAAATATATTATTTTGATCATACCACTTCCGTACAAAAAAAATATTTTATATTATCCTAGCTTTTAAGCTCAAATTCAATTAACAAAAACCCTTGTAATCTAGTTAGCTCTTCCTTGAAGTCACACAAGATCAAAATCACCTTTTTTTTCTTTCCTTAAGGTGTTCATAAAGAGAATGTGACTAACTTCACACTGAATATACCCACATTTTTCAACAGATTTGGAGAATCTACGAAATCAAATAAGAGGGGTATTATTTTAGGCCATATACGGTTTTTTTTAGTCTGCATGCCTTATTGGTATTTTTCTAACTTTTCAACTGCAGCAGGATCTCCATGTATACTTCCTCCTCAAGATACCCATTAAGTGAAGTATTCTTAATGTCAAACTGATGAAATAGTTAGTCCAAATTTATTGCCAAAGAAAGCAAAATTCAAATTATGGCTGAGTTTGGAAACAAGAGAGAATATTTATTGATAATCAATATGATATGAATGGGTGTGGCATTTTTTAATAAGTTGAGCTTTAAATTTATAGATGTTCACATATATTTTTGCATCGAGCCGACTCAAGCCAGATTGAGCTCGATCGAGCGTCATTGAAACAAAATTAACTCAAATTGGAGCAAAATTTAATCAAATTAGACTCAATTCTACCAAATTAAAGTAAAATTGATCAAACCGACCAAAAATCAGTCCAAATCGTATATGAGCCTCGTCGAACTAAATTCGACACAATTCGATGCCGATTCAAGTCCAATTTTGCAAAATTGGCTCAATCAGACCCAATCGGATCCAAATCGACCCAAATTGGGTCAAATCAAGTCTGATTCAAGCTCAATTTGAGCCCAATTGGACCAATTCTTGTTCAATTAGGCTCTATTTGACATTTTTAGCCCGTTTTAATCATTTCTCTAAATCAGGAAATTGAATCTAACAGCTAAATTTGAAACTGCGACTGCTACATGTTTTTTCCTCGCTACTTTCGACGGCTGTAGCAGGGAAATCACGGCAGAAGATCACATTGGGGAAATAAGTCCTCGATTTTGCGTATAGGAATAGAGGGAGGCGAGCTAGGGGGTCATTTGATCTGCCTGTGATCAAACTAGCAAGAAAGATGAAGAGGGAAAAGAGGCAGATCGAAGGCTCCCATGTACAGCTCTTCCAGACAGACCGAAGGATACCGTGTGTGGCTCTTACAGGCAGACTGAACGTCCTGTGTGCGGCTCTTCAAGGCGGATTGAAGCCCCTCCGTGCACGACTCTCCCTGGAGGAATGAAGACCCCATCCAGGTCGCGATCCATCCAGGCGTCCGAGCATCTCCAGCCGCCAAATTATCTCTGGCAGCCGATCTTCGTGGCCGCCGATCTTCTACGATTTGAGTATTTTGTAAAACTTATAGATATAACAAAAAATCAAATCCTCCTCTAACCTATAAATCCATAAATTTAGAGGCTTGCATTCATGTTTCCAATGCACCAATCATGTCAAAATTGATTGGGATCTCTTCCAAGCCTTGGGCGTGTATTTCCTACATGCATACATGGGTTTCAAATGTATAAATTGCATATGGAATTATTCAACTCTCTTTTCCATGACAAATGTTTAGGGTATCTTACATATGTTGAAATTGATTGCCTTCAAAACTTGGTGAAAACTTAGTGAGTTTCCAAAGACATGTTGTGAACCTCACAATACATACAATCAACCAATCTTATATAACAATGGTGATAATAATTGAATCAACTCAATCTAAAATCAACCACAGATTTTCAACGAAGCAATTATTGTATTGCTATCAGTATGGTTAGTGTAAAACCCGAAATTCGTCATTTGAGTGCGTCACACGCATTTCGATGCGCCGCGACGAACTTAAGTGAAATTTCGATGTTGTCGGAATTCGATGAAATAAATTTTATTAAATTCGTCACAAAATTTCGATCGAAACGATATAAAGAACTTGTATCCAATTTTATATGTTATGTCCTTCCTTTATGAAATTGATTATGAAATTTGATACTGGTTAAACATGCACTACATTTACTTCTTGTTTCCTTCATGATTAGGTCTAAAACACATGTTAAACAATCATTACATGTTTATTTATTTCGTGTTTAGAATGCATGTCCAACATTAGTTCATATTTGAAATATATGAAATTATATGGAAAGGAAAGAATGTATTCTCATATGAAAAGAATATAGAAATGATTGTGCATGATTGATTGCGGAGTACCAAATATGGTGCAAAAGCACATATGAGCAATATAGGAACAATATGACCCTTTTGGGGCAAAAGAGGAAAAGAAAGAAATGCCCAAAAGATGTTGTGTACCTGATCAGTACACCCCTTGTACTCCGGGACGGTTGTATATGATAAATAAATAAGCATTTTGAGATGACATTCATTACATGATATATATATCTAAGACACGTGTATATGGCATACCTAAAATTATCTCTTATTCTTAAGATATAAATAAGTTAACATGTGTAGGAAAAGAAATAAAAGCATGTCCCCATTAGTTTAAAAATATAAATTTCATTTTATAAGTCATGTGAGCATGTTTAGGATTAGAAATTCCTATTGAGCATTAGCTCATTTTCTAGTGTTGGGAAACTTTTCAGGAGAACCTGCAATAAGGATGGCTGACAACACGAGGTTTACTTACAGTCGTTGTACCCCGGGTGACAGGTTCTTTTATTGTTTTTCCTAGTTGTAGTTACTTTTCTTTTGGGTGGCTTTCTCATAGCATGATTAGTTAGATGTTTTGGCCATCTTGTATATTTTGTGAATTCTCTTTTGAAATGAAATGTTTAGAGGCGCTTTTATGTTATTGAAGTCTTTTTAGAAATTTTTATTAACATGTAAGATGATTAGTGTATATTCTAAACGTCCGATTTCGTTCCTGCCTCGTTCATACGAGAGCTAACGGGGCCGGATCGTGACAGTTAGTTGATTTCAATTTGGTCGTCCAGTACGCTATGAATATCGTACAGTACGATTAGTTCAAAAATCATGGTTTCGTTTGGTACGATATTTGGGATGACCAAATTTCGACTCTGCCAATCATATGGTACACTCATGATTGTATAGTACGATATGCTATCATTCATTAAACCATGATTTGATTGACTAATTATAGGGGTTAATTTAAGAAAGATTTTAAAATTTCGTACAGTACGAAACATATCATATAGTATGATTAATTCAAAATTTAAATTTCAAATATCTTATTTAATTTATTCGGCGGCTAGGGTTTTTAGATCGTGATGAATCATACAATACGATTAGTTCACAAAAACTAATTGTTCAATAAACTGTTAAGCTCATTCACTTTATAATTGATCGTATAGTACGATTGTAAGTCATACAGTATGATTAATACAAAATTTTTAACTTTAAATTTTTCATACTCCCCCTGTGTCTGTGCGCGGTCACCCAATTGCATACACTCTTATATGACCAAAATCAAGAAAGAGAAAAAAAAAAGTACAAACACTTTTCCTTGATATCCTATTTTACCCAGTCTTGAGCTTCCAGTAGTCTTGAGCAGTATATATTTTATCTGCAATGTTAGTACTCACAGACAAAAAGAATATCCAAAATATTCACTAAGAAAAAGAATAATTCAATCAATAATGTTTGTCATCATCAAAATCACAGACTAGAGGTCCTAGATTGCAACACTAAGCTTGCTATCCAAGTGGTAGTTTTCTTTTAATTTGTAATAAAGGCATTATAGAATTCATTTTGAATAACCAAGTTTATTCTGATGAAGTTCCAAAATAAGCTTCCATTGAGAAAATAATCAGCTGCCATCGGTTTATTGTCCATAAGGCTAAAAAAAGAAGAAGAGAGCTGATGCGATTTATATTTGCTGCTGGTTCTCTTTGAAATTTTCAACTCAAGTATTTCACCATGAAGTTTTAATGTTTTAGATCTAGATTTTCCTTTTTGAGATTGTTTTTTAGCGTTGGAGTTGTTGGCTTCTTGACTAATGATTTTTCATGGTAGCTACCACCATTTTCATTCTAGAAGGATTTATCAAATATATTCTTACCACTCTTGTTGGACAAAGACTACCTTTTAGCATTGGTGAATGACTTGTCAGCATCACAAAGAGAAGAATCATAATATATCTAATACCATCTTGAAAATTAGAATGAGAAGAAAGAAAAGTAGAACATGAGAAATTTTATGACTGAATTTTATTTCTTTATCAGTTTGAAAAACAATAAGTTTTATACTTGTATATAAATAGATGGAGAAACAAATATTAGAAAAAAATAAATCTGGTCATCCAAACATTGATGCAAAAGCAAACAGTTATAAAGTAGAGGGATATACAGTATGTGTGTATGATGATATTTTGATAAAGTAGACTGTCTTTAACTGCCCCGATAGTTTTGCGCATGGTAAAAAAAATTTGGAACAAGCTTCACACGCACAAACAGACAAAGTTGATATGGCAAGGAGATGAAGGAAGTCAGTATGTGTGTATGATGATATTTTGATAAAGTAGACTGTCTTTAACTGCCGATAGTTTTGCGCATGGTAACAAAAATTTGGAACAAGCTTCACACGCACAAACAGACAAAGTTGATATGGCAAGGAGATGAAGGAAGTCAGCAAAATTAAAATGCAAAGACAGAAAAAAAAAGGTATGTCGTGGCTAGTATGATTAGAACTTGTCCAAAGGTAGCAGCTGAACAAAATTAACACCCATTGAATAGGCTAATAGATAGTGAAAACGAATGAACACAACTGACCTAAACAGTTCAGATACAGCTTCATGCGCTATGATAACCATAGTGAAAATGGAAACAATTACAACTAGTTCTTTCTACCGAGGCTGTACAAGTTGGCTATCAGTCTATGTAGCCTACTAACATGAGGAGACTAATAAATACTTCTTTTAGATGTTTCTATCAAGGCTGCACTAGTTGGCTATCAGTCTATTTAGCTTACTAACATGAGGTAACTATTAAGTACTATTAGGACATTAAAGCAAGATGAAATTTATTTTGCAAGGCTAGGTAGGGCTTTTTGCCTTTTTAGCAAGTAAACTTGAAGATTGGCACAAAAAACGTAGTGACCGAAGCACTAGTATGGTGTCCATAAGAAAATAAGATGAGACAAAAAATGCGAGGCAAATAAAATGGTTGCTTATAGTCCTATTCCGACCAAATGTCGATGTAGGTAACCACATAAGATTTGTTAGAATCTCCTCAATAATGTTATGACATAGAATGTTGTTCATATGAAGTAGTTTTTAAGAGGTATAGGCTCACTACCAGGATTGTATGATCCCAAGACAGTATAACCAATAACTACATGCAAAAGTGGGTCACTTTCATGATCTTTATGAAAATTACAACACTGTCAGGGGTGCTCCAAAAAAGGAACAAATAGCACAATTGAAAAAAGTAAATCCATCATAATAATTGCAACTAGCTCATACCTGAGATAATTCATCTGAGAGGAGACAAGGACTGCACCAAACCTTTGTGAAGAACTCAATTGCAGATGACATAGAACGGTCACGCAAGCTGGTAAACCAATTACGCACATAAGAAGGTAGGAGCTGGACCATCATTCCATATATTGAACCAGCAAGGGAAGCCATATGTTCAGTTTCGACAGGCCAAAGTGACTCCATGAATAACAAAAAAAAGCCAGTACTTATTGCATGCCTAGCAGAATTTGCAGCCTGTAATGCATCCCCAGAAAGCTCCGTCTCTTTCTTCTTTAGGCTGGTCCCGATTGCCTTCAAGGGGATATGTTGGAATAAATAGTCCAGTATTGTTGAATTAACAGAATCTTGTATAAATTGAACTAATCTTTCCCTTGTTGTGGAAGAAGATGGCAGTGAATGCAAGTGAGTGAGCAATAAAGCCCATGAGAGAAAAACATTTACCTGAAAAAGAGAAGTTTTGCAAGTTACTGCAGACAAAATAATCAAAGATGCATCGTATACAAAATCAGAATGTTGTAGATTGGTAACAGGATCTTATTCTCACCCTATCATGGCCTGTCAATGCCATTTCAGAAAGTTCAGCAGGTTTCAGAATGAAGGAAGAGATTTCATCTCTTAAACATAAGGATTGTTCTGAAATTCTATCCATAGTGTTGAAAAAAGAGGGCTCCTGATTGGTTATGCCATTGCTTTCTGGGAAGTATTCTTTCAAAATTGATAGATGAATAATGGGCTTGGTTGATAGAAAATTATAAGCAGCTAGTTGCAGAGAAGGGAATGATTTTGAAGAAAAAAGAATTGCGTACAAAGAGCTTATTGGTCCTTTGCTAAGACCCCAACGTTCCATTGACTCCACTGCTTTATTTCTAACATGTTCCGGTGTATTCATAACAGATGATGCAACTAAAGACCAAAAAAGAGAATAATCTAGCCTACTTGATGCAATTGTTGATGAAGCCTCTTCGCCACATGACTTTACAATAGCCTCAACAACACCAGTGGTGAAAAATAAACGGAGAACATTTTGCATAATTTGATCTTTAACATGGAGCCAGTTTCCATGATCTATATTTTGCAAAACTTCAACACGATCAGCTTTTTGAAGTTCAACGAGTTCAGAAATGAGAAAGAATGTTACTAAAGAAGTAGCAGAAAGACTCGCTAATAAAGGATCAAAAGGCTGCACAGCATTTTTAAGCTTCTTTAAAATGACTTCCATATCATGAGTGGTGTAGGTCGTCAAAGCATCATCTACGTTCTCAGCCATTTCCTCCATCAACAAAACTGATGGTTCTAACCATTTGTGCAATTTAGCCATAGCATAACTCCAATCCTCTTCTGCAAGCTCCTCCGGACAATATGCAACTGTAATGGCTGTTAGCTTTGCAATGATCAACTCTACCTGCATAGGAAAAACACAACTTAAGGCAGACGATGAAGGCACAGCAGAAATATCATCTTCAGTTGATGCGGCGGCATTGGCACTTCTTTGCTTCCGGATCAAATTCAGCAATAATTTTTTCTCTGATTCACTAATATTTCTCAAAACCACAACCTTCAGTTTCCCAATTCCTCCTTGTAAACTTAAAGGATAGCAGGCCAATACAACTTGAATCCATTCTAAAGCTTCTACAAAAAAGAAAAAAGAAAAAAGAAATCCATTAAATTATAACCCAAATCACCCATATGTCTAGGTTTTTTTCACAAGAAAAATCTCAAACATTCAAAGAAAGTTCATATGAAAAAAAAAAAATAAATGTATTACCGCTATTTCCTGTTTCCAATAAATGCAAAGGTGGAAATGCAGCAGCATTTTCAAGCCAAATTATGATATTGTCATACAGTTCAACAGATTCAAAAGGTTCCAGAGAAGCATCTTTGGAGGATACATCAAATTCTGTCCTTTGAAATACCAATGATCGAACAACAAAACTCAATACATAAGGAAGAATCCTCAGACAAGCTCTATTTACATGATCATTAAGGAAAATTTTGTCAAGAACATGTTGAATGAAATGAGCAGTCTCAGGCCTTCCCCATATATCATCCTTAAGAATGAAGGCATGCAGCAAGCAAACAAGAGCACGTAGGAAGGGGTCTTCAATATTCTCAACACCATCATCTGAAGAGATCCAAGAGCAGAAAACAATCCAGTGATTATTGGTACCATGGATGAGAGCTCCATCAAATAGGATGTTGACCAAAGAAGAAATTATATTGACTCCACTCAATGATTTCATATCATTTGCATGCTTGGATAAAGGCATGATTAATGAATTCAAGGCATTCCCCCCTTTCCAACTCCATGTACAAAGTAATTCAGCAGCTAGCCATACCCGAGAGTAAGAATGAAGAGAACTTGGAGCGCCCTCAACTGGCATTTCTTGGGTACAGCCAGCAATAACTTTTCGCACACCAAGGTTTGATAACAGCTTGTCAGCAAAAGAAATAAAGTTACCATGGCTTAAATCCTGCTACAGCAAGATAAAAAAAACCAATTAGAATTGTTTTGCTACACCATACTTGTTCTGAAAACCAAAACGATTTATATAGTTCAAAATAGTTATATATTTTTGTTGATAATGAATTATATGATAGACCGGCTGAGCCGGTCCAGCCTCACCCCTT